GTGGCCGATGAGTGTATATTTATTTGCTACAGTATCTTGCTGGACCCATTACATTTGTGGCCTCACCCCCATGCTGGATTTCCAATTATGGATAAAGCAGCAATACTAATCTTGGGATCTTGTTGTATTGTACAGTGCACAATACGTTTTTAATTGTTTTTCAAGTAGTATTTTTCTGTACTTTCAAAGCTGTTCAGTCTTAGACAAATACATTTTTATGAATCTTAAAGTTTATGCAACCAGAAGTATATATACCTACAGTACATCATAAATTATTGGAAAACACTTCTTTTCTTAATACCTGCAATCAGGCCTGCTTTTAAGCTAAACATGTCTGACAGACACACATTTACCTAAACCCAGATCATGTTGGGGCAAGTTTACAGTGGTTTATCTTCAGTCTGACAAATATTAACCAAATCCGTCTGCTGTTATTTTAACTTTAAAAATGGCAAGTAAAATACTTAGAAAATACTTATTCTGAATTTTAATTGAGTGTCTTATGAATTTTACTGATACAAAATAGTGTTTTGTGATAAAATAACATGAAATCTAGAATGATCTCTTTGGTTAAAAAGGCAAATAGGTCTGCTGTACTGGATTAGATTCTGCCTATATGCTCATCGAGACAGAAGACAATGTTCGCTTCCAGCCATATTAGATGCAATCTTTTGAAGTTATAGGACTACATTATTTGCAAGCAAGTTACAACTAGACAGACTACAAAGAAAGCTGTGTTTGTGTTATGTGTCAGTTTACTAGGGGATTGTACTTATATACTTTTTGATATATTGTAATGATTTCATCCTAACAGGGCTCTCAAAGGACTTCAGGGGCTTCCTGGGAGAAAGAGGATCTATAGGAGAGGGTCTTCCAGGACCAAAGGTAAGTTTTTTTTTTCTGTCCTATTCCGTACAAATTTTTGTAAAAAATGCCAATTCACCAGAGATCTTTGGATGGAAATCTTCAGATACCCAGAGATTGGCAGATTGGCCTGTCCAGGTCTTTGTGGGCAGTCTGGATCACAAACAAGATATGGCCATCCACAAGATATGATCAGATTTTGATTACATATGGGCATTTGGGGAAAGCGTACAAGGTTTTTGATGAAGCCTATTAGAAAATCTGCCAACACAGTGCACAAGGGCATTCTCACTGATATGAAAACCTCAGGTTTCCTAAGAGGCTGCATTATAACAATTTTTTTCATGGTGTTGGGGGGCTTATCTATTATTACTTTTGAACCCCCCCCCCCCCCCATATGAACATTAAAGAGGCCTTTTCTAACTATTTCACTAGGAGTATTAAAAACTCAAGGCTGCACTTTGAGAACGTCTACCATTAAGTTTATTGTTAAGCACCAGCTTCAGTACAGTGCCCACCCTTATCCACCCCTTTGACGCATTTCACCCAGATTGGGCTTTTCTGAACATTTCAATAGACGTAGAAAACTCAAGGCTGCACTCTAATGATGTCAACCATTCAGTTTATCTAAACCACTGGCTTCTGTACTGTCCCTGCCCTTGTCTGCACTCCTTTGATGCATTTCACAGATTAAGCCCAACCTGGGTGAATTGTGTCAGTTGGGTGTAGCTAAGGATGGGGACTTGTGCAGAAGCCATTAGTTTACCATGAACTGAACAGTTGACACCATCAGAGTGCAGCTTTGAGTTTTGTACTTCTAGTGAAATAGTCTGAAATTTCAATCTGGATGAAACGCATCAGTAGGTGTGGCTAAAGGCAGGGACTGTACAGAAACCAGTGGTTTTTGAATAAACTGCATGGTTAATGTCTTCAGAGTGTGGTCTTGAGTTGTGTACTTCAGAATTCATGTGGAAAGGTATGTGCTCTTTTCCAGAAGTGGCACCTAATGTGGAAGCTGAGCTGAGAGGTTGTGCACATGAGGCTTGGAAGTGGTACTGCCTGACCTGTCTTATTTAAGTAGATGGTCCCGAACATTCTTCTGTAATTTAATTCCTAGCGAATATTTTATTGTGATCAGAAACTAATCAAATTTTTGTATGCACTAAAGAATAGGTAAAAAAGAAAATAAGGTGCTACTACCAATCCCAAATGTTCATCCCAGGAAACTAGGCAGGTGAGTGATCCACAGTTGCTTATCCTGTTCCAGACTTAAATGAAATCGATCCGCACTACAGCCATTGCTCTAAAACAGGGGTGGGCAAACTTTTTGACTTGAGGGCGCAATGGGTTCATATATTGGACCCCGGGGGCCGGACCAAGAGTAGATGGAATGATGTGTATGTGTCATCCATAGTAAGTATTAGTAATATTTCCTCCATAGTAAGCATAGTAATTCATAATCCCCCATATAGTAATTCATCCCCCATATAGTAATTCATCCCCCATATAGTAATTCATCCCCCATAGTAATTAATCCCCATATAGTAATTCATCCCCATAGTAATTCATCCCCCATAGTAATTCATCCCCCATATAGTAATTCATCCTCCATATAGTAATTACACCCCCCCTATAGTAATTCATCCCCCATATAGTAATTCATTCCCCCTATAGTAATTCATCCCCCCTATAGTATTCATCCCCCCTATAGTAATTCATCCCCATAGTAATTCATCCCCCATATAGTAATCATCCCCCCTATAGTAATTAATCCCCCATAGTAATTCATCCCCCATAGTAATTTCATCCCCCATTAGTAATTTCATCCCCCATAGTAATTCATCCCCCATATAGTAAATTCATCCCCCATAGTAATTCATCCCCCATATAGTAATTCATCCCCCAATATAGTAATTAAATCCCCCATATAGTAATTCATCCCCCATATAGTAATTCATCCCCCATAGTAATTCATCCCCCATATAGTAATTTTCATCTCCCATAGTAATTCATCCCCCATAATAGTAATTCATCCCCCATATTAATTAATCCCCCATATTAAGTCCCCAAGCCCCCCCTGTGTCAATTCACTTACCTTTGCTCCGCGCGTTCCTCTCGCCGTATTCCTGCGCCGTTCCGGTGTAGCATGAAAATCTGTCTCCTATGAGGATCTGTCCCCCTCGACGGTATTGCGCATGTGCCAGTTTCAGGCATTAGCAGCCGATCGGTGATCTCCGGCACATGCGCAGATACGTCGAGGGGGACAGATCATCCTGACAGTATCACGCTCCGCGGGCCGGATTAAAAAGGTCGCCCGGGCGCGTATACGGCCCGCGGGACGTAGTTTGCCCATTGCTGCTCTAAAACCTTAGTTTTATTAAATCAACCACAGTAAAAACATCACAGTATATAAGGTTTACGCGTTTCGACTTAACCAGTCTTAGTCATAACCCATACTAAGAATAGGTGCAAGGCTTCAATCTAGGGGCAAATAAGTGTATGCACATTAAAAACCCAGTGAGGTAACAGAGGTGAATCAAGTGAAATGACCATTTGAAAAAAAGATCAAACATACACTGGATATAGACATATTTTAGGACATTTCATGCGACCCAGTTTGTTTTTGTACATTATAAACTTAGGTATGTTTGGTATCAAAATAATAGTTACTTTCTTACACATTTGGGTAGAAACTTGTTATGACTGTAATTTTTATCATATCAGGATTTATAGATTATGAACAGATTTTGAGATCTGGGTTGTATGAAAGGGCAGGATCAGGTCAAGTAGAGCCAAATGGGTATTCCTCCTAAATGGCCTTACAATGGCTAATTGCAAACAGAATAGAGCCTGTGGAGATCTCTGCTAGAGGTTTTATAATGTGACAATTTTACAGTGGCTATTAGCAAGCTTGCTTAAGAGTTATCCTGCTAATGAATTTAATAACCTGGGCATATCCTCCTTATCCCTTACAGAATGTGTACACCATCAATATAGTTGCCCACAGCTTCTCCAGATGTAATTTATCTAGCTACACAAGAAGTAAAATATTACTCCACAATACCCCATTAGAGCAACAAATGGAAAACGTTTTCCAGGGATTCTGGTCCTGATGGAATCCTTCGACATTAGTTGCTGCTGTTAATATTTTACAAGATTTATATAGCACCAACAGTTTGCACAGTGCTTTGCAATATAAAGGGAGACAGTACAGTGAGGCAAGTAGTACAAAAGGTAAAAAATGTGCAGGATGGGCTGATGGAAGAACTAAAACTTCAGTTGTTTGGTAGAGGAGGGGTAGACTTCTCTGAAGAGATACGTTTTCACAGATGGCCTACATGTGGACAGAGTAGGAGATATCTGGACAGATTGAGGTGGAGAGTTCCAGAGGATAGGAGAGACTCTGGAGAAGTACTGGAGACAAGCATGGTAGGAGGAGACAATAGAGCAGGAGGTGTGTGAAGCAGAGAGGACAGTTTGGTTGGTATTTTGAGACAAGATTGTTACTATGCCATTGTTTCTATGATGCTGGGGACAAAACCTTTGCTTTGAAAGAACCTGAAAACCCCACTATATAGGCAGTAGATTGTAAGAGATCAGCAAGCGGAAGAGTTGTGGCACTGATCTTGTAAATTGGACTAGTCTATTTTATATATGATGTAATATTTCTTTTGTAGGGTGATCGTGGGTTTGAAGGACCAAGAGGACCTCGGGGAATGACAGGGCCTGGTATTATGGGTGATAAGGTCAGTGTTATATATGGAATAAACTATACATATATTATTGCTCTGTACCTTCAGCTTTCAGTTATTCTGATTTGATTATATCTCAGATTACCTACTATTACAACCCTTAACATTTAGTCGGTGCTCTTAGCTCTTAACAAGTGCTGGTAACACATTTATAAGAGCTGAATTATGGTGTTCTCCAGAAAATGCAAAATAAAGTGGACCTCCATTTAAAATATATAAATTTATCACAGTAACTGATAAGATTTTTAACTGGTTACCTGCACACACTCAATTTCAGGATACTTTTCATTTTACAATATAGAGAATCACATTGTGAACATACAGTAAATGATTCATTTTCCTCCTAGGGAGAATTTGGACCTCCTGGCTTGCCAGGCCCAATTGGTTTACCTGGAATTGGAATACAAGGAGAAAAGGTAATAAATATTTTTTATCCTATTAATAGAGGGAAAATCATAATTTGAATTTATAGTTCTATTCTGCCAGTCTTATGATCCAGACACTATGCCAAAAAAGATAGCCATGGTCTAGACCAGGGGTGGGCAAACTTTTTGACTTGAGGGCCGCAATGGGTTCATATATTGGACCCGGGGGCCGGACCAAGAGTAGATGAATGATGTGTATGTGTCATCCATAGTAAGTATAGTAATATTCCCCCATAGTAAGCATAGTAATTCATCCCCCATATAGTAATTCATCCCCCATATAGTAATTCATCCCCCATATAGTAATTAAATCCCCCATATAGTAATTCATCCCCCATAGTAATTCATCCCCCATATAGTAATTCATCCCCCATAGTAATTCATCCCCCATATAGTAATTCATCCCCCATATAGCAATTCATCCCCCCTATAGTAATTCATCCCCCATATAGTAATTCATCCCCCCTATAGTAATTCATCCCCCATAGTAATTCATCCCCCATAGTAATTCATCCCCCATATAGTAATTCATCCCCCCTATAGTAATTAATCCCCCATAGTAATTCATCCCCCATAGTAATTCATCCCCCATATAGTAATTCATCCCCCATAGTAATTCATCCCCCATATAGTAATTCATCCCCCATAGTAATTCATCCCCCATATAGTAATTCATCCCCCTATAGTAATTATCCCCCATATAGTAATTCATCCCCCATATAGTAATTCATCCCCCATAGTAATTCATCCCCCATATAGTAATTCATCCCCCATAGTAATTCATCCCCCATATAGTAATTCATCCCCCATAGTAATTCATCCCCCATATTAAGTCCCCAAGCCCCCCCTGTGTCAATTCACTTACCTTTGCTCCGCGCGTTCCTCTCGCCGTATTCCCGCGCCGTTCCGGTGTAGCATGAAAATCTGTCTCCTATGAGGATCTGTCCCCCTCGACGTATCTGCGCATGTGCCAGTTTCAGGCATTAGCAGCCGATCGGCGATCTCCGGCACATGCGCAGATACGTCGAGGGGGACAGATCATCCTGACAGTATCACGCTCCGCGGGCCGGATTAAAAGGTCCGCCGGGCCATATACGGCCCGCGGGCCGTAGTTTGCCCATTGCTGGTCTAGATCTTTACTACTACAGCAGCACTACTTGGTTAAGAAAGCATCCCCTGCCTGCCACTTTTACAATGAAGGAGCAGCAGCACACTGATAAGCTAGAACTCTGTTATTCGCATGTCAGAACATGTGCACTGCAGCACAACCTGATTGGCTCCTGTTACTGGCCTTCCTTCACCCAGTCTGAATGTTTCTGTATAGGGAATTACAGAGGGCTGATATGTAGACAGATTCAGGGAGGTAAACTAGTTGCATTAAAATGTACAATTAATATTTTATTAAATAAAAAAAATTATAATTCTTTCTTAGAGTTAAAAAAATCTATAAAAAATAACTGATGAGCTGGCATTGAGTAAATAAAGTATAGCTTCAGGAACTGTAGTTTCAATTAACTAAATTTTGGTTCTGCACAGTAATGGCTGCTTCAATACAGCTTTAAAGATCTATGGTCAAAGCAGGGCATGCAATTTCTGGCTGCAAAACTACAGTATTTGTCCAATCTTTTACAAGATATGAAAGATAATATGGAACAAAACAAATGAATTTACGGTTCAGGAACCTCTTTCAGTTATGAAAGCAAATAGTGTGTTGCATTGTTCTTGTTGTTAACTGTTTTAGCATCACTCAGATAGTAGGACTACCTATGAGATGGAAGTTGCAGGCTAAGGGAATCCTATTTTAGCATGGGGTATCTATCACATCTACTCATGCTCTCTTTGCCCACACCAAGCATGTTATAACTATTACATACGTAAAAAAGGATGAAGAAAGCTCACTCAAGTAAAATATGCCCATGTTGTCTTTCAGGGTGTTCAGGGACCGGTGGGGCCACCAGGAATGAGAGGTTCACCAGGAGAAGGACTTATGGGACCCAAGGTAAGAAAAGCAGTAAAAACAGTGTCTGACTGATGTATTCAAGGCCCATCAATAAACAGGTTATGTGTACTTTTGCGGGGGTGGGAAGAGCTCCAAAATATGCACTTTGACCCTGGTTGGAGGATCTCAAACATTTGGAATCTAAACATGGTGGGAGGATCTCAGGCATATGTTCTTTGGCCCTTGCAGGAGGAACTGAGACAATATACTTTGGTGTAAGTAGGAGGATCTCAGACACATGTACTTTTACCTGGTTGGAAGGAACTCAGACACCTTACTTTGGCATAGGTGGTGCAGCACAAACATATGTTTTTTAGTCTTATTTGGCATATCACAGACATATGTACTTTAGCCATGTTGGGAGACATGTATTGGGGGTGAGAGGATCTCAGACATGCTGTATGTATTGTGACCCTGGTGGGGGGGGGGGAGGGGGGGGGGGGTGGGGGGGCAGGAGATCTCTGACATATACTTAGACCCTGGTGGGAAGAGGGCAGACATACAGTACATACTTTGGTACTCTAGGGAAGAGCTCAGACGTACTACTTTGGTCCACGTAGGAAGGAGGGGCTAGGGCACATATACTTTGGTGGGAAAAGCTCTGTATATGTACTTACGCCCTGGTGGGAGAAGCTCAGAATATTTGTCCCACAAGTTACTCTGTTATTTTTTTTCAGGGAGATCAAGGTTTACCAGGGGAATCTGGAGTACCTGGAGAGAGAGGTGTTGGAGAATCTGGGGCAAAGGTACTGTAAATTAAGTCTATACTAATCCGATTATTTATACCTCTGTTCCCAGTAGGCAAAGGATCATTAACTCAAAACTAACCCTCAAAAATGTATAGTAACCAGCAACAGATTTATTTGCTTTGATTTGTTAGAGCTATTTATTTGCCATGAACAGCGGTAATGTCATGCATTACATAGTTACATAGTTAGTCTGGCTGAAAAAAGACAAAAGTCCATCCAGTTCAACCATAGAAAAAAAAAAGTTATAATCCTATACCCACAGTTGATCCAGAGAAAGGCAAAAAAAAAAACCCCAGCAAAGCATAATCCAATTTGCTCCTGCTGGAAAAAAAATTCCTTCCCGATCCCCCGAGAGGCAATTGATATTCCCTGGGTGAACTTTACCTATAAATGTTAGTATCCAGTTATATTCTGTGTATCCAAGAAAGAATCCAGGCCTTTTTTGAAGCAATCCACTGAGCTGGCCAGAACCAACTCTTGAGGGAGTCTATTCCACATTTTCACAGCTCTCACTGTGAAGAAACCTTTCCGTGTTTGGAGATTAAATTTCTTTTCCTCCAGACATAAAGCACACAACAGTAAAAAAATGCATGAAGTATGTTTATCATTACCTTTGTGACATGATGGGACATGTGAAATAAAATAATAATTGCATCAATGCTTTTGAGGGAAGACAAATGAGGACTGATTAGGTAAACTAATAGGTTCACTGGAGGGCAGGCTCACAAGAAATGTATACTAATCTGCCCTGTGCTCCCATCTATCTACCCTGTGCTATAATTTCTGGTGCTTGTGACACTCCCTCCTATTTTCCGGATTGATTCCACAATATGAACACTCAGAAAAAATGGGCATTCACAGTTGCAGTCATTCTAAGGGCTCATTTTCTTTGACCTCTGAAGAGTGATCCATGTTTGGATTGCTTATCTGAGAGCATTTGAAAGGCAGTAAAGAGGCATTGTATCACCTCCTCACTGACTGTTTTGACCCCTTGGACCCTGAAAGTGAAAGGGGGGATAATTTCTCCTGTGGCCACGAAGCAAAGCATCGCACCTGCAGCATGTGTACACCACTGGCCACTGCGACTGCAACTAAAGGGGGTAGCAGTTGAGGGGGCTGTAAAACCATGGCTAAACCATGGGTTTTCTGTCCCCCAACCTCACGTGGGAACAAGTCCTAAAGCTTACCATACATTACAATCTGATTGCAGAATCTCCTCTACATCTATCAACCATCAAGTGCAAGAGCCTGGCTATAAATTTGATAGATTAGGTAGGTCCTCATATTACATAGTTTTGGTATATTTAAACTTGATTGTACAGAGATTGTATGGTCACATAATAACATGCACGGTGAGCCTTAGAGGGGAACAATAAAGCTCAGGACCTGTCCCTGCGACACTGCCCTGAGAGCAGTCAACCTATAGGAGTTGAGATCTGCCATCTCATGTCTGTGAACAGCTTTAAATGCATTAATTAGCTATTTTAAAGGCTCTTCAAAAATTGAACTGCCAAAATGATGCTTTTAAAAACAAATTATTATTAAGCAGTGTTTACTTATTTTTTGCGTCTTAATTCAAGAATAACATTAACTCCAATAATGCTGTGTGAAGAATTTGGGTAGAGAACAAAACATATTGTATGTCATACGTTCAAAAGATCTACATTAAACATCTTTTTCCTTGAATTTCAGGGTGAGCCAGGAGCTTCTGGATTGGCTGGTTTGCCTGGGTTACCAGGTGAAGATGGTGCACCAGGACAAAAGGTAATTAACATTGATTGTTATAGTTATATAAAGAGACCCTGTCACATATCATGTTTTTTTTTAAAAAAGGCCAGATATGTAAAGAAGAGATTGAATACTCGAATACACCTTCACCGCCAAACGCTACTCTGAGCAGAACTGGTCCCTCAAAGTCTGCTGAGAAATTGACACTCCTGGAGTGTCAATCTCTGTGGTCCCCTGCAGCTCTCACTAGTTTCTTCTGCTTTGCTAAGATGCATAAGTTATTATAGCAGCATTACTAATTTTATCTTGTAATATTTTTCTCATAAAACATAAATGTCAACAAGAAGTGTAATCTTTACTTCCTCATGTGAAATGAACGTTAATATGTTCCCATATAGAAGAAAAATATATTTGAAATATATTTTAAAAATATTCTTCCCAAATATATTGACATATATTTGGAATACTACAATTTTGGCCATTTTCAATATATTTAAAAAAAAAAAAAAAAAAATATATATATATATATATATATATATATATATATATACACACACACACACTGTATGTTGAAATGTGTTTTTATTACAAAATATTTGAAAAATATAAAAAAAAATATTTCAAATATACTGTGTCTTTTTTGGAATGCATTTACAAATATATGTGAAATATATGTTAAAATCACTTTTTTATGTTAAACAAATCTAAAGAATATATTTTAAAAAATATATTTTTTAAATATATTCTTCAGATTTTTTTTTTTACATATAAAAAAGTAATTTTAACATATATTTGTAAATGCATTCCAAAAATGTAGATTTGTATTTTTAAAGACATACAGTATATTTGAAATATATTTTTACAAATATTTTTTATATACTTTGTAGTAAAAACGCATTTCAACATACAGTATATATATATATATATATATATATATATATATATATATATATACATATATATACAAATACAGTTGTGTTCAAATTAATAGCATAATAGCAGTCAGACATCACTAACCTGATCAATCACTGTTTTTGGTAGAAAGGATATTTCTACATGGCAAATAATTTACTAGCAGGTGTAGTAGAGTAATAGAAATCCAACAGACCCAACAGTCATGACATGCATGCTGTTGATTCTGTGTAATTGAATTACTAATTGAAAGGGGCATGTTCAAAATAATAGCAGTGTGGAGTTCTATTACTGAGGTCATTCATTCTTTGAAAAACAGGTGGCAATTATTGCCCTTATTTAACCCCTTTGCGCCGGCCGCACACAAATGTGCGGCCTCCCGGCGTCTGGGCCTAGACGCCGAGCGGCCGCACATTTGCGTCCATGTAACTAAATACATATGTGCTGAGAGCGCGCGCCCTGCGCGCTCCCAGCACACATGTGTGGTACTCACGGAAAGGTCCCGGTCCGCTCTTTCGAACGGGACCTTTCCCGATCATGTGACCGCCGTGACGAGTCATCACGGCGGTCACATGATTCCTAAGCCACGCCCCAACCGCCCCTGCTCCCGGCGTCTGAATCTCTTAAAGGGCCGGGAGGCATCGGCGGGAAGGGGTTAAGGAAGGAAGGCAGCAAATGTTGTACATGCTGGTTACAGTGCATTTCTCTCTGAAATTCTGTGGAAAATGGGTCGTTCCAGACATTGTTCAGAAGAACAGCGTACCTTGAGTAAAAAGTTGATTGGAGAGGGGAAAACATATAAAGAAGTGCAGAAAATGATAGGCTGCTCAGCTAAAATGATGGCAAATGTTTTGAAATGGCAACCAAAACCTGAAAGACGTAGAAGAAAGCAAAAAACTACCATTGGAATGGATAGAAGAATAGCCAAAATGGCAAGGACTCAGCCAACAATCAGCTCCAGGAAGATCAAAGAAGGTCTAAAGTTACCTGTGAGTACTGTTACAATTAGAAGACGCCTATGTGAAGCCAAGCTATCTGCAAGAAGCCCCCGCAAAGTCCCACTGTTGAAAAAAAAACACATGTGCTGAAGAGGTTACAATTTGCCAAAGAGCACATTGACTGGCCTAAAGAGAAATGGCGCAACATTTTGTGAACTGATGAAAGTAAGATTGTTCTTTTTGGGTCTAGTGGCCGGAGACAGTTTGTCAGACGACCCCCAAACAGTGAATTCAAGCCACAGTACACTGTGAAGACAGTGAAGCATGGTTGCGCAAGCATCATGATATGGGGATGTTTCTCATAATACGGTGTTGGGCCTATTTATCGCATACCAGGGATCATGGATCAGTTTGAATGCATCAGAATACTTGAAGAGGTCATGCTGCCTTATGCTGAAGAGGAAATGCCCTTGAAATGGGTGTTCCAACAAGACAACGACCCCAAACACACCAGTAAACGTGCAACATCTTGGTTCCAGACCAACAAGATTGACGTTATGGAGTGGCCAGCCCAATCCCCGGATCTTAATCCAATAGAAAACTTGTGGGGTGACATCAAAAATGCAGTTTCTGAGGCAAAACCAAGAAATAGAGAAGAACTGTGGAATGTAGTCCAATCATCCTGGGCTGGAATACCTGTTCACAGGTGCCAGACGTTGGTTGACTCCATGCAACACAGATGTACAGCAGTTCTCAGAAACAGTGCTTATACAACTAAATATTAATTAGTTTATTAATATTAATTCAAAGGAAAGCAAAATCTTCAAACATTTTTCAGTTTATATAGTGAATGTTTGAGTTTGTAAAGAAGAATACAAACACTGCTATTTTTTTGAAGTCTAATATTCACTTTTCTTTAATTTTTTTAGAGGAACAACACAAATTTGATATATTTTTCTTCATGTTTTGATTTGGAATAGAATGTGTAGTGTTCCCAATGCATTTGTGTGCATGGAAATAAAATCTATTAGAAGGATTTTGAGCTTTATTCACTTTTTTCAACACACTGCTATTATTTTGAACACAACTGTATATATATATATATATATATATATATATATATATATATATATATATACACACAGTATTTTCTAGCGTATAAGACTACTTTTTATACTAAAAATATACCCCAAAAATTGGGGGTCGTCTTATACGCGGGGTATAAAATGAGAACCTTGAGTTTGTTTGGGTCAAGCTGGCTGGATGTGTGGTAATACTGTACATACTGTATACCGCGCTGAGCCAAGCTGGCTCAAAACAAATGTCCCTATGACAGATTAATCTTTCAGTCCGCTGGATGTGTGGTATATACAGTATACTGCGCTGAGCCAAGCGGTTTCAAAATGTACCGGTACGTCCCTACTGTAATCAGCCCGCTGGATGCGTGTATGTACGGTAGCTGCGCCTACATACAGTATACACTGGGCCAATCACAGCGAGTGATGTATTCTACTAATGAATACAAAGCCTGCTCGGATTGGCTGAGTCAGAGAGGTGGGCTGATGATGTCACAACCTCAGCCAATCTGAGCAGGCTTTGTATTCATTAGTAGAATACATCGCTCGCCGTGATTGGCCCAGTATATACTGTATGTAGCCTCAGCTACCGTACATACACGCATCCAGCGGTCTGATTACCGTAGGGACGTACCGGTACGTTTTGAAACAGCTTGGCTCAGTATACTGTATATACCACACATCCAGCGGGCTGACAGATTAATCTGTCATAGGGACATTTGTTTTCAGCCAGCTTGGCTCAGCGCGGTATACTGTATGTACATTACTGCACATCCAGCGGGCTGTATATATACTGTATACTGTATGTAGCCGAAGCTACCGTATTACCGCACATCCAGCAGTAACCATCTGATTTGGAATTTGATCCATATGATGACTGTCTTACAAATGTATCATAAGATGTCACTCGGGAACTTATGATGTCAGAGGATGAACATGAGGATTTTTAAGGATTTTAAGTACTGGTAAGTCATAACCATTTCAATTAAAAAATCTGATGTTTTTAAATGGTGTTGCCTCGGAAGGGGGGTAGACTTATATGGCAAGTATAGCCCAAAACCTATGTTTTAACTGGAAAATTAGGGGGTCGTCTTATACACCCAGTCGCCTTATACGCCAGAAAATACGGTATATTTATTCAATGAAGGATATTTTGAAATAAATTGAATATGGCCAAAATTGTAGAATTTCAAATATATGTCAATATATTTGAGAAGAATATTTTAAGAATATATTTCAAATATATTTTTCTTCCATGTGGGTTGAAAGCCCTATTTTCTCCTACATCATTATTTTATCTTGTACAGCATAATTCAGACGGGTGGTTTGTTACTCTATAGACAGCTATTACCCAATTGTCAGCCTGAAGCTGGTGTTATTTGAATCAGTAGAACGTGTGTGGTAGTCTTTGTGAATGAATTTTACATTGTGTTATTTCATGCTGGCCAATACAATAACACTAACAGTAATAAAATAGCACTAGTATTGGTAAAATACCACTTCTGACCAAATAAAGTCTGTTATGCATGTTTGTGAATTGAGGTCTGGGAGTTATGAAGGAAATAAGGCATGGTAGGTAAATAGCTTTGTGAATTGAGCCTATTGACAGGTAAGTGGTTGATGGTAATATTGATGTTTATTGATAATGAAAGAGCTGACAATGATGATTAAAGATATGACAGTATTAATTACAGCAATGAGATGTGACAATAAGCATGATGAAAGTCAATGGCAGCAGTGGGAGAAAAGGCAGTGATGATTAGGATAAAAAATAGTCATGGAAAGGGCAGTGATAAAAGAGAAGATAACAATGAGGATAAGGGTATATAATGAGCATTGAGGATGATGTTGAATGATCGTGAGGATGAGGAAAAAAGTAGCTTTTATGATAATGATGATTTGAACAATGATATGGTGACAAAAGATAATCAGTGATCATGATGGTTACAAATGATAATAAATAATGATGGGGACAAATATCAAAGAATAATAATAATTGCGACAAATGGTGATGAATAATGATGAAGATAACAAATGATAATCCAAATAATAATATAGTGTTCCTGCGCTAAATGTACTATGTGTGATGAAAAAGCAGCGAACACCAAAT